GGGGAGTAGCTTATGGGGGAGGCGGATGGGGGAAGCTGGGGGGGGAAGTGACGTCACGAACACGCGATTACATCTGATTGGTTATAACACAAACCACGTGATAAAATATGCAAATTATCTCCTGTACCGGCCTGAATATAGACAAACCCTAGGGAATAGGATACATGAACAAAAGATAAGCAGATATGGGTGTCTAGGATTTGTAGTTATAGCGATGATGACAGTAGTTACGCGTGCGTACGTTCACGCGCACGCATGATTGCGTATCGGGACGTACTGCTGGGACGTACTGCCATATTTTCTGAGAAAAACAAAGTTTCCGGTGATTTACGTCTTGCCTAACAGATTAATGTGTGCGTACGTGCGTGTGTGTGTCTTTCTGTCTGTCTGTCTGTCTAATATAAAGTGTCTATTCTTTCATCCTTTTGTGCGTTTGTCCATTCATCCACCCATTCATCCACGCGCGCGCGCGCGCACACACACACATACACACACACACGCACACCCTTTCTCTATCACCCTCACACACGTGCACACGTAATCTCTCTCCTGCTCTCTCTCATACACAAGCGTAATTGTCCCCATACATGAAATTTCCTGCCTGGTTAATTGGACAACAATAGCGTAATTGTCCCAATGGCCAATACATGAAATCGCACGCGTGGCCCCTGCCCAATTATTACACCAACACTGTTGTGGTATAAGATTCTACTTCTGCACTAGCAATCTAGGGTATCAATTATTGTAACCACACAGTTTCTGTTGTACTGTAACAAAGAGTCAAGGCGCATATAATAATTATATAGGCTTGTCCCCTAGAACTAGATGTAGAACTAGAAGTATAGTCAAAAACCAGTTTCTGATGCACTTAGGTGAATGTATATAGGAACTGCTAAGGTTCTCCAGTTCCTAATCTGTCACAGTAAGAGATGGAAGCTATTTATGAAGGTGCAAAAATTACTAGAGAGGAAAGTTTGAAGAAGGTGGCAAAGCTCATTACCGAAAATAATTTAACACATGATGTTAGTGAGCAACTACTAGACATTATTTGCCTACACATGCCAGCAGGAGTGCATGTGGACCACCTGGAAAGCAGGTACAAACTGCAACGTGACTTTCATGCACTTGAAAATGAGAATACCCGTGCCGGCATCAAATTACACTATCTTTGTGCAAAATATGCCCGCAACTGTCGGAAAGATACAACACCATTTGCACATACTGCAGAGACTCGATTACTGCTACAGAGTTTTTTCTAACGATCGATCCTGTGCCTCAGCTGAGACAATTTATGAAAGGTATGTATACAATCAGAAAATTGATGAGAGTTCTGAAGGTATGGATTTGCTATGTAGCTATGTATATTATCTCTCTATCAGCTCTATCTATGTATATAGCTCTCTCTCTCTCTCTCTCTCTCTCTCTCTCTCTCGCTCTCTCTCTCTCTCTCTCTCTCTCTCTCTCTCTCTCTCTGTCTCTCTCTCCCTCGCTCCCTCTCTCTCTCTCTCTCTCTCTCTCTCTCTCTCTCTCTCTCACTCGTCTCAACAATAGCATGGAGAGGTTCGCGCTAAGATATAGGCTAATGTTAGCTATCCGTATATTAGTCTCTCTATCTTATCCTATGTATAATAGCTGTTTCTCTATCTCTCTTCTCTCTGCTCATCATCTCTCTCTCTCTCTCTTCCTCTCTCCTTCTCTCCCTCTCTCTCTCTCTCTCCTCTCTCTCTCTCTCTCTCTTCTCATCCTTCTCTCTTCTCTCTCTCTTTCTCTCTCTCTCTCTCTGTCTTCTCTCTCTTCTCTCGCGCATCATCTCTCTCTCCTCTCTCCTCTCGCTCTCCGCCTCCTCCTCTCTCTCTCTCTCTCTCTCCTCTCTATCTCTCGCTCTCCGCGCCTCCGCCTCTCTCTCCTCGCTCTCTCTCCGCTATCTCTCTCTCTCTCTCGCTCTCATCTCTCATCCCTCTCTCCTCTCTCAGTTCTCTCTCTCTCTTCATTCTCTCTCAGGTCTCCTCTCTCGTCTTCTCTTTCTCTCTTCACTGCTCTCCTCCTTCTCTCTCGCACTGTCTTCCTCTTCTCTCTCGCTCCCTCTCACGCTCTTTTTCTCTCGTGTCTCTGTCTCTGTCCCTCTCTCTCTCTCTCTCTCCTACTCTCCCCGTCTCTCCTCCGCTATCTCTCCTCTTCACTGGGGTGCTCTCCTTCTCCTCTCTCCCTCTCTCGCGCTCTCTCGCTCCTCTCTCTCTTTTGTCTCATGTGTCTGGTGTCTCTCCTCTCCTCTCTCTCTCCCTCTCTCCCTCGCATCTCTCTCATCTCTTCCTCTCATCTCTCTCATGCTCTCCTCGTCTCGTCTCTCTCTCTCTCCGTCTCTCCTCTTCTATCTCTCGCTCTCCCCTCTCTCGCCTCTCCTCTCCCCGTACGTCTTTCTCTCTCTGCTCTCTCCTCCTTCTCTTCTCTTCTCTCGTCTCTCTCTCTCCTCGCTACCTTCACTCTGCTCTCGCTCTCTCCGCTCTCCTCTCGCGCGTTCTCTCACTCCCTCTCTCTTTTCTCCGGTCCTCATCACTCCTCATGGGTCTCATGTGTCTGTCTCTGTCTTTCCTCTG